TGGATTAATACGAGCCGAGAGTGACCATCAGCTGTTATGGCGGCCCACACCATCATCATCATGGCCGACACTTGAATTCTGATGGCCAACCGCCACCAGCATATTTTTAGCTGACCTCTTTGGCAAGTAAATACGACAGTTTTGTTTACTAACTGCTGGACAACGAATATTTTCTCATCGGAGAAAACCTAATTCAGAAGTTCGCCGAGCGAACAACTCCTTAGCTCTTTTGAGTCTATTTTCTTTCTGTTGCGGTATAAGTTCTTGCACTTTTTCGGAATTTCAATGGCTTTATACCGAACTCATTTTTTAATATTTGCCGAATGGAATATTGCAATATGATCAGCTAACGAACCATTTCAAGCCACTGCGACGTGAGTTTCGATTAAGTCACTTTTTCGAACCATTTCTGCTGTTGTTGCTGTTTTCTACCGTCCACTTCTTTGACGTCGGGCTACGCCACCAGTATCACAGTAACGAGCGATGGTACGAGACGCAAAAGATTTATTCACATTTAAATGCTGGAGTGCTCTAACGATAGCCTCTTGTGGTAAAGAAATCACACTATCACGCTTAAATTCCATCACGAATAACTTTTTTCTGTCACTGGAATAATTTTAACAGCTGTCGGACCAGTGGCTTAAAAATTACAGCAGTTTGAATTTGGATGCAGTTTTTCCATCTCATCCTTTATATATTTCATCTGATTTGGGGTTTTAAAGCCCTCACATGCGTAATATGCACTCCACAACAATGAACTTTGATACCAGATATCAGATATAGCCCAGAAATACCTCTGTCATATTTTATCGAAATCAGATCAGATTTAAATAACTCCCATATATATCTGCAACGGATTTCTGGTTAAATTTGCATCAAATTGCCAATATCAGTCCTAATGACCTGCATTTGGGTGCATCCGACTGAATTCAGTCTAGAAGCAAATCAAATTTGGATAATATCGGTTCAGATATAGCTATAACTCCCATATATACCCTTAACCCGATTTCAGGTGTATTGTGCAAATTATGGCTAATATCAGCCAAAAGAGAGTGAATTTCAGGACGTACGTTTCCATTTTGTGGAACTCCGATCCGATACATATTTCTTTTCATATAGTCCTTCTCGAGGTGATACGATGCACTCTATAGCAATGTTATTTGGTATAAAAGATGTAAATGTCTCCGTCAAATTTAGTGAAAATCGATTCAGTATTGGATATGCCTCCCATATATTAGTTCCCTCTGAATCCAACCTGTAATAATTTTGTCGAAGTTGTATCATGCACAGCATATGCATGTACTATACAGCAATTTTATTTAGTGCTTGAGGTACAAAATCCTCCGTCAAATTTGTTTAAAATCTATTCAGAGTTGGATATAGTTCCCAAATTGTGACTTTTCTGAAGCCATGCTACGCATTAAATAAGGTTCGTATGTAGTTGGTATACTCTACTTCACATAAATTCCCTATATTAACTTTTTTGTTTCGGGAGCTCTACTAAATAGGCATAGTGGCGTAAGGTATCATGTAGTCGGCTCCGCCCGACTTTTGACCTTTCCTTACTGGCTATAAAAGAAATCAATATCTTCCTTTATAATCTCCTACTCCAACTTCCTTAGAACTATTTTATTTGCACATATTTAATACATGTATTTCTTATTGTTTTACAATTTTATACACATGTATCCATAGGATACAATGCAATTGCAGCCATGAACTTCATTTTGCAGATTATCCAAAGTCCATATTTATTCGAAAGCTTAGTTCAGCAACAATTCTCGAGCATATATTTTTCTTCTCGAACGTAAGCTTTTGGCTAGAGCCACTTGTGAGACACAATGAAAATAACTGCAGACCATCTATGATGCTCACATATCGCTGCTAAGCCCTTCATAATGTAATGCAGAACTTTGTGCCGGCAACCGAAAGCCTTAAGTGAAATAAAAGAAACATCAGGGCACATAACATTTGTCCAGTTGCCAATGGTGCATATGTGTTGCATTTCTTTTGCATTTATTGTATGAAAATAAACCTTTAAGAAGTTTGAAGACTATGGGACAAAGGTACTTTGAAAATATATCCTGGAAATCTGAAAGAAATTTACAACTGGTGATATTCAAAATGATAATATTTAAAATAACTGTGGTATTCTTAAAAAATATTAGTTCTTTGGATGTCCTTGAAAAAATTAATATTGATAACACGGTGCGAAAAAATACAATATTTTTAATAATTACATAAAACTCTATATTTTTTGAAACTATAGCTAAACAAGTTAAAGAGTATCTCTCTGGTTTTGCCGATAGATGCATACCCTCAGCTAATGTACGATTACTAAATAATATTTTGACTTCTATTATGTGTATTCAAATGTTTTACCCCTTATAGGTTTCGAAATTATGGGCCAATATTGGTAATTACCTAAATAAATATGATATAATTACTGCGATGTGCCAGGTTTGGACTATATTGGTAATGTCCTTCACTTTACATCACATATAAGATAATTTTTAGAATATGTTAAAATGTGCGTGAGGTTGGTTGAGATGAGGTTGAGATATAGCCGAATGAAGTATTCCATTTTCATGGTTCATCTTATACATATTAAAATATTGGTATGGGCAATATTACAAAAAAATCGAACATTTATATCCAATATAAGAAAAATCATAAATTCCATATTCATCTCAGGCTTCTGGCAAAGAGAGATATATTTAGATATAGCAAGTTGCAAAGAATTGCAAGTTATGAAAGATAAAAATATGGCAATTTGTGAATGTGTAAAATTTGAAGACTATTGAATGCTTATTTCGGTTTCCTTGAAGGTTTGTTTTTAAAAATCTTGAATCCTATGTGTGGCAGGTAGTAAAAAAATGGTCCGATCTCTATCATCTTCATAACAGATCTTGTGTAGATGGAAATATTTAGATGTACCAGGCCTTGGATGGAGTCGGATGTTAATTTCGATTTTTCTGAGCTTCATGGATATTCAAAATATTGAGCCCTTGTGTGGGAGGTACTAGATGGAGTGGACCGATATATCCCATCTTCAAACAGATATTTTGTCAGTGGAAATAAAGGGAGTTGTGAAATATAAAGATAACCTTATGCTTAATTCGGATATTATAAACGTTTTGGTTGTTCAAAATGTTGACCTTTTGTGGGGGAGGTACCGGAAGGAATGGTCCGATCTCTACCGCTTTTTAACAGATTCTGCATTGATAGAAATATTCAGATGTGCCAAGTCTAATTGGAATCCGATATTAATTTCGCGTTTTATGAGCTTAATGGATATTCAAAAGGTCTGCCTTTTTTCGGGAAGGTACCAGAAGGAGTGGAACGATGTATTCCATCTTGGGACAAGACTTGGGGTAAAAAATATTATTGGGATGTGTGAAGTTTTAAGACAATCGGAATCTTAAATCACATTTTATAAGAGTTGAAAGTAATTGTTGCGACCCTTTGTGGAGGAGGTACCGATATTGTCCATTTTCCCACCTGAATTAAAACTGACGCAAATATTAAGATTTTCAAAGCAAAATCGAGTAATCGTTTCTCTTTCTGTGCAATATTTTTTTTTTGAAAAATTTCGACCTTTTGTGTGTGAGGTGCCAGAAGGAGCGAACCGATATATTCCATCTTAATACCAGACCTTGGGTTAATAAATATTGGGATGTGTGAAATTTTAAGACAATCGGACTTATACATTACATTTTATAAGAGTTGTAATTATTCTAAATTTTGACCCTTTGTGGGGGAGGTACTTGGTGGAGTAGATCGACATTGTCCATTTGTCCACCTTACCTAGCACTGATAAAAATATATTCGCAAAGTTGGAGCAAAATCGGGTTATCCTTTCTCTTTCTGTGCAATAAATTCTTTTCTTTGATAATTTTGACATTTTGTGTGGGAGGTACCAAAAGAAGTGGACCAAATTGTCCATCTCCGAACTCGATCTAAGTTTGACAAAAATATTACGGTTTACAAAGTTTGGATCAGATCAGATACTCCCTTCGAGAGTTATCGTGCGCACCAGCCAGACAGACAGGCAGACGGACGGACATCGCTAGATCGACTCCAAATATTCTGAAACGGATTTGATCCAAAGAGGCCTAGGGTCAAAAACCGTTATTTCAACTAGGCACGTTTTGACCTATCAAATAATGTATACCCTCTCTAGCCATATGACTGAGGGTTTAAAAAATCAAAGCCAATAAATGTAATTTTGGTTTGTATTCATGACTCTTTGCCAAGACATTCTAAAAAATATATTTTCTTGACCCAACAATTAGTTTTAACAGAAAACAATGCATTACCCTTAACAAGAGGGTCGTGGGCTACTTTTACCCAATTTTTCATAATACACTTAAAAAATAATTTTTGGATACTTTTTAAAATAATTAAAAAAAAAAAAAATAATAAAAAATAATGAATGGAATGGAGGAATTATTATAAATATATGTAACCGTGACTAAATATAACATCATGGTTTGCATCCACAATCATGTATATGTTTACACTTGAGTTTTCGAAAATTCGAACACTGGTTTCTGGAAAAATGAAAAATTTTAAATTTTTTCTCAGTCAATTTTTGACATCATTGGGTCCAAATTACTCAAAAAAAAAAAAATAAATTTTTTCAAACACAAAAATAAAAATTAAATATCGGAAGGAAATGGTTTCATAGACTTTTCCACAAAAATACCACATATAACCACATCCTACATTATCACTTTAAATTAAAATTATTTGTATATTCTATATAATATTTTCTATTAACTAACAAAACAACCATCAACAAAATCGAACTTCATTGTTTTACTAATCGCAACTTTTTTTCCAAATTTTTTCTCTTCTCTCCCTCTACAAAAACTTTTCCTTCAGGCAACAAGACAGCAACAAAAGCGGCAAATTAAATCCATTAAAAAGTGAAAATTGAATTAGCAAAAAAAAAAAAAAAAAACTAAATAAAATAAAAATTGTAAAAAGAAAAGTGAAATATAAAAAATTAAATAATTGAAAATAGAAATCAAGAACAACAAATTAAAAGTGGAAAAGACACACATAAAGAGAGCAACAAAAATAACAACCCCAAAAGAAAACGAAAGGCAAACATTCAAAATTAAGAAGTTAACATAATGTTAAGTTCGTTGGATGCTTTGGCTAGTAAAATATCACCTGGCTCAGGAAATAATTCTCCGTCCCAGCAGCAGCAACAACAGCAACAAAGTCAGTCCGCACAGGTTCAACAAACATTGTCACGTTCCATTCTGCGAAGTCCTTTGTATCAGACAGATCTGAAGCCAGACATACACGATTGCCCAGACAGCCAGTCGAATCAGTCATTACGTTTAAACGGCAATCAAACCCACCACCCTCACAGCAATCACCACCATCATCAGCAGCATCATCATCACAACAATGGCCTCGATAGCAATGGCAACAAATTATGCCACATCACTCACAATTCCATACATCCCTATCACAAACAACCGAATTCGCCGAACAATGGTAGCAGTCAACAATATCACCACCAGCCGCAGCATCAGCAACACCACAGTCACCAGCATCAATCCCACCACAATCACCTGCTGCAGCAGGCCAAATTGGCCAACTACCAGCAATCATCGTCGAATTCATCGCCACCCACCACACCATTGCCGTTATCCTCATTATCACCCCAAGAGTGTGCCCAGCAACGACAGCAGCAGCATGAACTTTTTCAGCAGCAGTTGCAGCAGCAGCAGCAACAACAACAGCAACTACAGCAGCAACGACTCCAGCAGCAGTCATCAGCATCGGTTGCATCGCCTCCCATGTCACCGCCCACACCAACGTCCCAGTCTTATGACGAAAATGATTCCCAGCATGAATTTGGCAGTTGTCTGAAGGAAAAGTAAGTAAACAGAAACAACAATAAGAAAACACAAAAACAACAAAAATCCCAAAGCTTCCAACTCCCCCAAATGAAGTGCATTGTTGTCATTTGCCATTCATCCTAGTTTTTCTCTTTCGTTTCCTTCGCTCTCCCTTTAATTCTTTTTTTTTTTTTTTGTTTTTTTTTTTTTTTTTTTTTTTTTTTTTTGGTGATGTTAAGAATGTTGTTGCCTTCGTTTATCTCCTTCTATTTTGTCGTCGTTCATTGCCGCTTCTTTTTTTTTTTTTTTTTTTGTTTGCCTTTACCCTGATTTTTTCATTTCCCATCTGGCAGCTTTTCATTTTCCTCCCACATTGTTGTACTTCTGCATCTCATTGTAATTGGATAAAAGTTATCCTGATATCCTTCTGCGTTTTGTTTTTTGCTCTTTTTTGCTAATGTTTCATTCATTCAACTGCGTTTTCATTTTCATTGCATTTTTATACAAATCACGTTCAATATGGGAATGGATGGAGATGTGCGGTACATTTAGTTTGTCCTAAAGTTTGTAACTTCAGGGAATTATTAATATTTTTTTAAATATGCAACCATATAATTAATTATGGTATGTTCGGAAAAATAATTGTTTTCGATTTAAATTTTAAAAACGTTAACCCATTAATAATTATATAAGAGATTTGGGTTTTCAAAATGTTGATCCTATTTGAGAGAAGCTCCAGAAATATTGTTTCGAAACTACCCATTCTCGTAACATACTAAAATTTAATAAAAACAAGTAAAATAGCTGTAAGTTGAGCCGGGCCGAACTTTTAATACCCTCCACCATTTGGTAAAACTTTGGCAATTTCCAAAAAAAAAATCCGTTTAAAATTCTGTTAAAATCTTATAAATACCGAATGCCTATACGACGACGTAGACCAGCATAGGCAACTTTTATCATAATTTATTAGAATATTTAAATGCGAAACTTGAAGAAAAATCTGTTTATAATGTAGCAATCATCAAAATACCGAATATAGTGGGTACCGTTCTATGGGGGCTATACGAAGGCGTGGACCTACATGGCCCATTTTCTGTTTTATGCGGAAGTATCATTTACGAACTTCAAATACCAAATTTGGAACGATTCCGTTAAATAATGTCGCTAAAATCATGAAAATACCGAATATCGGGGGGTACCGTTATATCGGGGCTATATGAAGACGTGGACCTATATGGCTCATTTTTTGACTTAGGATGTAGTATCCATTACGAACTTCAAATGCCAAATTGGAAACAATTCCGGTGAATAATGTCGCTAAAATTATAAAAATACCGAATATCGGGAGGTACCGTTATATGGGAGCTATATGATAACTTGGACCTGCATCGCCCATTTACGAACTTAACCTGCCTACTGGTAAAATATACATGTGTGCAAAATGTTAGCCTTCTTTCTCAATTTGTTCGAAAGATAGCGTGATTACAACAGACGGACGCACAGACAGACAGACAGACGGACATGGCTAAATCGTCTTAGAATTTTACGCTGATCAAGAATATATATACTTTGTTGGGTCTGACATGAGTATTTCGAGGAGTTACAAACGGAATGACAAAATTAATATACCCTCCATAGTATGGTGGAGGGTATAAAAATTTAATTTGGATGTGGTGCGAAGGTATCAGAGAGAGTGTACCAATATATCACATTTTCCGACTGTATTGGTAATTCTCTTTATTAGAGGTATCCGAATTTGTATCCTGTGGTTTTGAGGTGCTTGTGAGAGTGAGTGCTAATCATCACACGGGATTATTGGAGACGTAACAGAAGGAGAGGACCGATTAAGTCTATTTTCGTACCAGACATAAAAATAACGGAAATTTTTTTGATGTTCGAATTCATTCGTAGATTACTCCCCTTCATCATTGAATTTATATAATACTATATATATTTGACCTTTTACCATACAAAGAGCCAATCTAATTTGTATCTGTCCATAATTTCACATTAGAATAGCGCTCATAGATCCTAAGTCTCCTTGGGCACTTCAGGATATTCGAAGTTGACCTTGGTAGGTCCCTCTGTCCGTCTATTTGTTGGACTGTCTTCTTAGTCAGCTGGTGGGCATGATAAATAAAAAAGGAATTATCCCATCCTTCACCATTTTCAAAAAAAAAAAAAAAAATCGGAAATGGGTGATATCGGACCACTATTACTACCCATTATCATTGAATTTATGTAATACTTTATACATTCGACCTTTTGCATACAAAGGCCAATATAATTTGTATCTGTCCATAATTTCACATTAGAATAGCGCTCATAGATCCTAAGTCTCCTTGGGCAATATACACTTCAGGATATTCGAAGTTGACCTTGGTAGGTCCCTCTGTCCGTCTATTTGTTGGACTGTCTTCTTAGTCAGCTGGTGGGCATGATAAACATAAAAGGAATTATCCCACCCTTTATCATTTTCAAAAAAAAAAAAAAAGGAAATGGGTGATATCGGACCACCATGTCGGTCTCCTCATCCAAAACACCTCAACATTTTGCAAAAAAAAAAAAATAATAATAATAATAAAAATAAATGGAAATAGGAATAAATTCTGATCGAAAACATCATCTAATTTACTTAAATACCTCGCACTTCTATATATTTATATCAGCCTTAGGTCTGAGTGAATAATTGACAATATCGGGCCCTTCTTTCTTCTAAGTCCACATAGGGCAACAGTAAATTATTAATGTAGACTTAAAAATAGAAGTTCCCTCTAGTCCGCATTTTGTGGACTTTTTAGGATTAAGTTTCTTTGAAGTAAAAAAATATATGTACATATCTGGTGGATACTACAGCCTATGACAGATAATTGTCTGTGTAGATCCACGCCTTCGTATAGCCTACATGTAACGGTACCTCGTATATTCGGTATTTTGAAGTTCGTAATGGATACTATAGCCTTAGACAGATAATTGTCTGTGCAGATCCACGTCTCCGTATAGCCTCCATATAACGGAACCTCCCGATATTCGGTATTTTGACGAATTCAGTAAGATTATACACCAAAATCGTTTCAAATTTCGTATTTGAAGTTCGTTATGGGTACTACAGCCTATGACAAAAATGTTTGTACGCAGGTCTAAATCTTCGTATAGCCCTCATATAACGGTACCTTCCGATATTCGATTTTAGCGACATTATCCACCGGAACTGTTTCAAATTTAATATTGAGTTTGGCTATATTATATACCAATTTTTTTATGCTTCGCATTTGAATATTGTAATGGCATATGACAAAAGTTGCCTATGCAGGTCCACATCGTCGTATAGACCCTAATATGGCTACATTCGGTATTTTCAAGATTATAACAGAATTTTTACGGATTTTATTTTTTTGAAAATTGCGAAATTCTTTCCAATTGATAGAGGGTATTAATAGTGCGGCCCGGCCGAACTTACAGCGTTTTTAGCTTGATTTTTTAAAATTTTTAAGTTCATAGCTAAGTTTTCTTCTTATTGGTCGATATAGATGGGGGTCATAATAAATTGATGTCCGTCAGTTTTAACCGCTCTCCGAGTGAATGGAGTCAAAAAGTTGATATCGATGGTGTATTTTATTGGATTTTCTGAAATTTTATATTTCCTGTCAAAAATGGTCAAAATTTTAAAAATTAATATTCCTGAAAAAAACTCACTAACCCAGTGCTTTTAGAAGCATATTATACCCGAAATGTTTGTAATTTGTTAGTATAACAGTCGTAAATTAGAAAATATTCTCAGTTCAGCTCAGTTTTATTTTTGATATTTTTAAAACATTTTGACATATTTTCATAATTTTTTTGAGAAATAATCGATTATTCATATATAGTTTTTAATATACTACCCGGTTTTAAAGTCTTTACTGCATATCCAAATATGCTTTATTTTAAAAGTGAGGTAAAAATAATTTTTGAAAAGAAAAAAAGAATCGACAAGATCTTTATAGCTTAAAAACAATGCTCTGACTTTGCTGACTGAATGTATCCCATTGTGGAATCTTCTCTCATCAAAAATTTAAATAAAAAATGATATTTAAACAATTGTTCCTCTGTAAAGTTCAATATTAAATCATTAAGCTTTGTAGGGATAAATCAGATTCGATGTGACCACACACAACATCGTTTTTCTTCTTCCTTCTATCACCATGGTAGCGTTTTGTATGGATTGTCGTTGGCATCTAGGGGGAGAGAGAATTTTCCTTTCTTTATTATATCGCTTAGTGTGTGTGTGTGTATCCCTGTGAGTGTGCTGTTATGTCTGTGATAGTATCAATTTACTAATTTTATTATTTGTTTGTAAGTAATGAGGGAAAAATACTTTAATTTAGTTTTTGGTATTCTCATTCTGACTGCATTTTCAGAGCAACAGATAAGAATGGCAGCATGGCGTTAGAATATAGCTGCAAGGGTAAAGAATTTTTTTTTTTTTTTGGATTTTCTACTTTCCTTAAATTTGTATATTGCTGTATTGTTGAATATGGAAATTAGTAGGGAAATATTTTGAGATTTAAATTGGTGACTATTATATTTTTATCAAATTTATAATTCAATCCTTAAATTAAGGAAAAACTTTTAAGTTTTGAAATACTTTATATTCAATATGTAATTTTTATAGCCTTTTAGCCACACTATAATTCATGAAGGGAGTATCTGATTTGATCCAAACTTGGAAAACGTTATATTATTGTCAAACTTTTGTCAAGATCGGGGATGGACAATATCGGTTTAATCCTTCTGGTACCTTCCCCACAAAATGTCAAAATTTTCATTGAAAATAATTTACTGCACAGAAACAGAAAGGATAATTCGATTTTTCTCTTACTTAATAAGTCCTAATAGTTGCAGTAGTTCTATATAAGATGCGAAAATGGGCAATATCGGTCCTCCCTATCAAGTACCTTTACCACAAAGGGTCAAAATTTTGAATAATTATAATTTTTAGAACATGTGACGTAAGTGTCCGATTGTCTTCAAATTACACACATCACAATATTTTTAT